CCGCAGGCGCGTCCCGAGCTTGGCCTCCGCGTGCTGGCCGACCAGCCACAGCTGCACCTGGTTGTTGGAGCCCGCGTAGAACGAGGACCCGGTGGACACCCGGACGCGGTAGACGCCCATCTTCCAGAAAGACGTCCGTGCCGTCTGAGGGGGAGAAGAGCGGGCGCGCCTAATAACCCGGCCCGGGACCCCGCCCCCGACAGCCTCGCGGGGGCCGGGGGCGTGGATGGATGGCTCGGCCCCAGCTCAAGAAGGCGGGGCCCCGGCCGGGTACCGGGTGCAAACACTATCTTTGAGGGAGGAGGGGGGAATGGGGAAGCAGAAGAGGATTTGGGCAGAAAACGTGCAAGAAGGAATTAGCCCAGCAGGCAGATGGTGCGTGGCCGGGAAGCCCCTCCATCTAAACGCACGCACACGCGCGCACACGCACCCTCGCTGGCGGCGCAGGGCGGCCCACCCCCGCCAGCGGTCATGCCTAGGGTCGTAGGGGCGGATGGTGAAGCCAGGAGGCCTGGTCTGCAGCAGCGTTTGAGGAAGGAACATTCGGGCCACCAGATTAATTTGGCCAGATTCGAACACTTGGTGTCTATTCCCCGCGCAAGGTTCCGGGACTCGTTCCTCTCTAGCGCACATGGCCTGGCCTCTCTGCTGCCTGCAGGTTGAAAATACAAAATTTCTGTCATTCAGAGCTCTTGCTAACCCACCTGCCCTCCTCCGCGACACTCCGCTGCGCCCCGCCCTCCTCCCCGGCCTCTTCCCCGGCCTCTCCACTTTGGGCTGCAGCCCTGTGTTTTCCAGAACCCACCATGTCGTTTGTCTGCAGTCTTTGCTCCTGGAAAATTCTACTTAGCCTTCTAAACCCTGGTTAGACCCCAGTTTTTCAGAAAAGTCTTCCCTGGCCATTCCACCCTGCCCCACTGCCCTCGCCAGGGCTAATCGGCTTTCCTCTCTACTGTTCCCACCCTGTGCATGCTTCTGTTATTGCGCACTTAACACTACAGTAGTTTGTTTGCATGTCCATACCCCCTACCAAGGGGAGCTCCTCTCCAGCACGAATTACTCACTTTTGTTTCCCCTGGAGGTAGCACCGTATCAGGCTCACGGGGGTCAACGTTTGCTGAAACACTGAACTGAACGATCAGTTATAAATAAGTCCTTTCCTTGGAGGGACAAAGGCAAACGACTCTCAGACAATGCAAATAATAAGAGGACAGTAAAAGTCTGGTAGCACCATGGTGTGGAGCACTATTAGCCTGGTGAAACAAATGGAGCTGATGGAAAATGTCTGTAACACATATTTTGTTGTTTGATGATTGTTTTTTATTTGTTTATTTGATTGTTTGTTTCTGCGGGAAGTTCATTCACTTGATTCAAAGTTCACAAAGTACTAAGTGATATTCACTAGTGTTCCCCTCCCTCTTGACCCCAAGCCACCCAGTAAGTGCAGGCCTGTCCTTTCTGTCCTTTGTCTGTACGTGGTAGAGAACTTTACATACTGTTCTGCACCTGGTTATGTCATGTTGCAACATAAATCTGGAAGTCCTTATACATCAATATTCAAAGAGCTTCCTTGTTCTTCAGGTTGCCATTGTTTAGCTTTGCTTTTTCTTTAATCCTCGCTGGAGGATATGTTTTACTGGCTCCAGGGAGAGAAACATTGATTGGTTGCCTCTTGCACATGCCCTGACTGGGGACTGAACCCAAAACCTGGGTGTGTGCCCTGACAGGAAAGGGAACTCGTCACCTTTTGGTGTACCGGATGACGCTTGAACCAACTGAGCCACCCGTCTAGGGCAGGTTGCCATTGTTTTGATAAAGCGTGATAGACTCTACCAGTTTCTCACATGTGGACATTTAGTTTGTTTGCAATATTTTGTAACTATAAAAAAATTGCTGAAAAAATCACCTGGTGTATACATCATTTTTCATAAGTAAGTATATCTGTAGTACAAAATCCTAGAAATGGAACTTCTGGGCCAAAAGCTTCTGTAACCTGGCAGAAATTGCTTAACTGCCCTCCGTAGAAGTTGGACCGATTTACACTCCCATCAGTGAGTCCACTGATGTATGAGAATGCCCTTTCTCCCTCGCTCTTGCCAATAGTGTGTTGATAATCATTTTTACATTAGTCAATCTGATAGGTGTAAAATGGTTCCTTAGTAGAATTTTAATTGCATCTCTCTTGTTATGAGTAAAGTTGAGCATCTTCATATTGTAGGACCCATTTTATTTCCTTTTCTGTGAATTGGCTGTTCCATTTTCTATTGGATTTTGGAGTTTTTCTTATTGATTTGTAGAAACTACTTATATTAGGAAAATTAGCCCTTTTCTGGCTCTATCACTACTGAAAGAGTCCCAGTAGCAACGATAGTACTTTTTACCTGTATTAACTTCTTAGAGCCAAGATACTGGTCTATAATATTATTCTCCCCTAAAAGAAACCTGGGCTCCTTAGAGGGTAGCTAACTCCCTTCCTTAGGACAGGTAAAACTCAGGACAAGCCTGGAATGCGTCATTGTTGCTGAAACAGTAAAGATGTTCTCAAGAAAGTCACAAACAATTCGCATAGGGCAAGATGTCCAATTTGAGGAGCTCCCACTGGCTGCATTGCGACTTTTTGAGACACAAAAACTAAATAATAAATGGGGTTAATTGAAATAAATAAGAGTATCGGTTAGTAATCCAAAAATCAATTGGTTAATTGGTTGCAATTAACAAAAAAATTTAATTCAAAATGGCTCAAAAAATAAGGAAAAGTTATTATCTCAGAAAAGAAGAAGCCCGTAGGATAGGTTGGCTTTCGAGTTGTTTGTTCCTTGGCTCAACAGCATCATCAAGAACCCAGGGTTTGTTTGTTTTTCTGTCTTTCCATCCTTCATGTGTTAGCTCCTGAGTGAATTACTTCCTTAGCAAAATGCCTGCTACCACTCCAGTAATCCCATACAGACATAGCAACATGCGCTGGGAAGAGAAGGACCATTTCTTCCAGAGTCTCCTTTCTGAGAGCAGGGGAAGCTTTCCCAGAAATCATCCAGCAGCTTCCCCTTAGCTACCTTTGGCCAAAACTGGACACCAAACCCAAATCCTTCAAACAGGCAAAGGAAATGAAATCACCGTGATCATCCCAAGCTTATCAGGATTTACCTCTGAATTACATGAGAAAAAGCGAAAACACAAACATATTTGGGGCCCCACCAATAAGCAAGAAAGGATAACAGACTGAGAGGTACACACCCAAGAGTGTCTGCTACAATTAGTTTATAAAAGGCCTAACTTCATAATAATATCAAAAACAAAAGTCACTGTGAACTGTTAACAAAAATGTATACTACAAAAGAGTGATTCTATTAGGGTTTTTAAGGTTTTATAAGAAGTGAATGTTACTAATTATGAGCATGTATGAGCATACTAATTATTAGTATTTCTTCTAAGTACACATCTGTTTATAATGAAGAAATATATGCTCATTTTCACTGGTAAATGGAAAAGAATGAAAGCAGGAAATTGTATGTGAACTAAATAGTCCCAGAAAAATAGGAACTGTTCCAAGATCAGTCCATGTGGCTACACATGATAACCAGCAGAAAGGAGGTCCAACCAGTTAACCAGTACTGGTGCCCAGGCTCCATGACCAAGGAGAAAAGGGATTCTGAGGGTGCTGGGTGAGCCAAATGTCCTAAAGATAAGCACAGATATGCAAACACAATCCCTCTCTCCCAGGAGATGAATCTACTAGATGACCCCTTAACCATATGACATTGCTGACACATGCATAATTTTAAAATAATGCTAACAAAGCAAATCAATATATCATAATGACAGAACAAGGGGTTCCATAACTCTGACTAAGTGAAACTAAAGACTTACTTCATTATAGATGCAGAAACTAAAAACTTAGCAGAAGATACAAACGGACTTATTGGGGTTACAAGATAAGTTTTACAGGAACAAAGATAGCTCCTTGGGAGATAAACAAGCTTCAGAGCCACAGGCATGAATCAATCTGCTGAGAAGCCCAATTTATAGCCTCAGTGCATATGAGGTTCTGAGACAACATTACTTGCGGGTGCAGGGGGTCTGACAAAATTTCAGTAACACCAAGAAAGCATCAAAAGACATATTTTAGCAACCTTAAGAAAGTATCTTCTTCCTAGAGAAAAACAAGAACAAGTAGAAACCAATGAAGTAATGAAATAAGTCTATGGTGTTTTAAAATAGATTTAAGTGTCATGACAGTAAGTCTTGTAATCGCTATATTTGTGTTTGTTTTGTGTACGGCTTAAAGTGTATTCAAATAATCATCATATTAAATTTGTAATTGCACTTTATACTGTTTAAGGAATTGATAAAGTTTGCAATCACTGTTTAAATATTAAAATTTGTTTATCAAAGTTCTAGTCATAGATATATGTTTAATAAATTAAGCATTAAAATATATATATAGCCTTTCCTCGCTCTCCATAGAAGCCTGCCTGAGTCCCCCCACTCGGTGAACCATGGTGGCAGCTGCGTGTCGCTAGCCCCGCCGGAGCCTGGCCCTGCTGTGTGTCCTGGGCCTGCTCCTAGGCTCTGTCCAGACTCTGCCTGTGGCCTGGCAGAAGCAGCAGCGAGGACTCGGCCGCCCTCCAGGGGCCCGAGGACCCCGATCTTGTTCCTCTTGGCCCCACTCATCCTCCCGCCCACCCTGGAAACCTGGTGTCTGGCTCTGGCTGCAGCCCCGGGGACTGGGGACCACGGACTGTGGCCGAGAAATCCCCAAATGGACACCTCGAGCACCTACCCTGTTCCTTCGAAGCCCTGAATTGGAAGTTAATGACACCCTAAGGCCTCAAGGGGAAATAAAAGACAGTTCGTGTTGCAGGAAGGATTCCCTGTGCCTTCTGCCTACTGTCGGTAAAATGCTCGTTCCTTTCAAGTGAGCAGACCGAGACGCAGAGAATTTGCTGAAGGACATGTAGCTGGCAAGGTAGAGGCCAAATCTAAACCCTGCAGGGTCCTCTGACCAAAGGCGGCGTGAGGTCAGAGGACCCTGCAGGGCTTCACCAGAGCCCTGGAGGAGCCAAGTGCTCGGGGGTTACATGTTCCTCTCAGCTGGAAGTTTGTTCTCATTCTAATTAGTA